TAGTAGCTTTATAATGCACATTATTTTAACTTTTATTTCATTACGCTTACAGTGAGCTACACTCATTGTATGTCCACTGAACACTTCTAAGAACTGGAGAAAAGAATTCTGCTGTCAACTACAGGCATCTTCAGAATGGTAAGAGAAATCTCACTAGTTATAGTCCATTAACTGTGGCATAGGGTTTTTATAGTATTGCTCTGCTTTGTGGGTAAAAGTAACATCACACACAGTTCTCACAATCAGAGTTGAAGCCAAGATTCAGTCCTATCTGTTATGTTTGTAGGGAGTTACAGTTGACATTGATTTAGGTGATTTTGCCCCTACTATTCTCTATTCTGATGCCTACTGATTCTCTCCAGAGGCTGTAGACTTCGTTGCACAGTGTGTATTGCATGATGCCAGTGAGCGGCCCTCTCCCCTCCAGTTTTACTCACACTGGGGTTGCCTGCCTTCCCTTTCACAGAGTATCTTCTGTTTTCCTGTGCCCTGGCAGCACCCCCCTAACCTTGCAGAATTCTTTTATTTCATATTTTAAAAATATTTTATCATTTCACTTACCTGCCAGGTTTTTGCTCTATTTGCCAAACTTTTTTTCTATTATAGTCTCCACTGTCTTGTATTTATTTACAGAGGAAAAAAAATTACCATGAAGCACATGTAAAATGTTTCTTGGTCTGAATGAGAGTCCTGCATGCCCCTAGCATCCTGATATGTGAACATAAGGAACTCTGCCTTTTCAACAGAATAATTTTCCAATGAAGATGTAACAGACTGAGAAAAAATAGTGCTGTGATTTTTCCCACTGATTATTTAGACGTAATGCCACAGTTTTAGGTCTTTGTGGATAGGATGGAATACAAATGCTTGAGAGGACTTTTCAAAGCACTGTTTATGTTTTTTACCACATGCAGTAGAAGAGCTATTTTCCACATTTTCTTTTCTTTTATGTGTGTTTGCATGCTAGGTAGTAACTAATTTGAACAAAACAGTACGTTGTGCACTAATTAGTTGAAATACTGTTGTCCTAGTCACAAATAATACTGGGACTAAAACTCACAGCAGCATTGGCTGGAGGAAAACTAAATCCAGTTGTAAACCAAGTGAATACTGTGCTGGTGTGGTAACTTATTTATATTTATATCCCCACCATGCTTGTGTGTTAACAACTCACTGCTTGTACTAAGAATTTTCAATGCTTGATATATCAGAATGAAATTTAAAATATCACATCCCACTTCACCAGATTCTGATTTTGGCTAGGACCATTTATATCAAGATGAATTTTGGACCAACCAGCAGAATAAAAGGAAGCCTTACTCTGCTGAAGGAAAAAGCATGTATTATTCATGTAAACCTATAAAAGCTAAGTAGAAAAATAAACACTGATGCAATATTCATGGATATACTCAGGGAAGAGAAAAGGAACATTTACGTCCTAAATTCAGGCGTTGACGCTATGATATTGTGACAGTTCATCACTGAAGACACCCACAGGAGTACAACATTAGCTCTCTTGCTCCTTCGGTCAGTAACAGCACTGCATGTGTTGCCAATGGAGAAGGTCTTTGCTGCAAAGGAGCAGCAGTTGTGAAAACATCAGAAGAGAGCAACTATGAAGCATTCTGTACTGAATGATCCAGAGGATGCCAGGATGCTCTGAAGACAGCCCTTGACTTGCCTGCCCCAGTATTCATGATTGTATTAGAATTCATCATCTATTGTAATAGAAGAGGGTCAGTGCCTCTTTGTTCTAACAGCCCTCTCACCTCCACACCTGTGGGTCCATCCTCCACTATCGGCCACCACCGCTCCATCCCTTCCCCAACCGCATGCTGCACAAGGGCACACACCCCTGATCAGCATTCAGGAAAATAACTCACCTCCTGAGGCCGCTGGGTGAGCTACCATCCTGACTATGTGACCACCTTCCCTCCTCCAAGAGCTACAGCCAAAGAGGAGAACCTGCTGGTCGCCTCGAAGCCAGCCCTGGGGCAGGAGGCAATGCCGCCCGCGGGCTCTGGGTGTCAGCCTCCCCGTGCTCGAGCTCACTCACATCTGCCTTCAGCAAAGGCATCAAGCACCCGGGTGTGTATGTGTCACATAAAAATAATCTGCAGCATTCTACATGTTTCATAGTGCCAATGTTGCAAAATCTGCTGGGGAAGCTGTGTCTGATAGAAATAGCTGAGTATGAGCCTTTCCAGAGATGCAGAAAAAAAACACACATGGACTTGGCTCTAGTATTCAGAAGCACAATACATTTTAAGAAGCTGGACAAACTCCTAGAAATGTTTTGATCTATGGACAGTTGTCCTTTAACAATTTGACTGCCTCTGCACAAGCCAATGCTATTCCTACTGAAAATGGAAAGGTTCAGAGGGCCAGATGGCGACATGGTACTTTGTGAAAACTCAGTTCCACCGCATTTTTGCATTTAGAGATGCTCCTCAAAGCAGCACCTACCATGCAGAGCAGGGAGAGCTTGAGAGGCAGACATCATCTGGATTTTCTGCCCTGTCCTTCAGTACTGTCACAAACATCCCATCTAGATGGCTAGGCACAGCCGTTGGCTCACTCCCTGGTTTGGCCCATGGTCCATTGACTTCTCTTTGAAGAGATACAGTTTGATCTGGATTATACTAGGCATTTCTTGACTATGGATCACATTTAAGGAATCAAACCTGGGGGTTTGGATAGTTAGAAAATACTACTCAGGAACCACTGTCAAGCCATCTGGCCAAAGGAATCTCAATCCTAAGTTTGTCAAGGAGGTCTCATATCCACACTAGCCAGCCAAGAGCTTCTTTCTCTGGCAGAAACCAAAATCAGGGTAGCAAACATTATTGAACGGGTGACCCTAGGCTGTGGCTACGAGCAGGGGGAGACCTCCAGGCTTGATCCCCCTCCATACTGACAGAAAACAGGCTGCGAGCAGAGTGTTTTGTGCATAGTGTGCTGCTTGCCGTGTGCAGACCCACGCTGTAAGGTCCACCGCTCCCATATGTAATGAGGGTGGCCCAAGGTTGTCTAGTGCAAGGTTGTTCTGGGGCGGAAAGTTGGAGAGGGTTTTAAACTGTCTACGTACCTGGTCATTAGGTGATATCTGAGGCAAAATGTGTTGCTGCATTATTACTTTTTACCTCCAGTGTTTCTGTGTGTCAAAATGTGTGTAAATTTTTTCATAGTACATATACAGGATATAGTAAATAAGTGAGAAATATATGTAATAAAAGCTACTTATTTCAGAGGAAGAGAAGACAACCTATTCCTTAAATTTCTCTCCTTCACATCCCCACATCTTCATATCACAACTTAAATAAACTTAAACTAGCATTTCTTAGAAGTGGATTTGGGCTGATAAAGTGTAACTGTGTTAAACATGACAAAAAGAACTGCAAAATGGGATGTTATCACAATTGCTTTCACTTTTTCACAATGGTCTATCAGTGTTCTTTTACAGTAGAAACTGAAGTGCTCAGTTCCTTCAACTTCTTTTTCCTTAGTAACAAGATGAGACACATAGTTTATTTGATCAAACATCAGGTTTAGTTTCCTCTTTGTATCTCAGCTCTCCATTTTGACACGTTTGACTCAGAACTTTGTACTCCCAAAGGATGAAATTTGGGTTAGGAGTATTAAATGATGAGTTCTTATCTGTGGTGGTGGAAATCAAGATCCTAGATCAACAGTTTTATTTTCTTTGTTTGAGCAATGGAAAAATTTCTTCCTCGGTCCTTGAGTACAAACTCCCTCTACAAATTCCTTCACCCCAATCCCTCTCAACCATTACATATGTTATATTAGGTACTGGGTATTATAAATTAGCTATATGATCTCCATGCTCATGTGCTTTATTTTTAGGGTCTTGTGGAATGACAGCAACTACCAAAATGTATTTACTTGCTTCATCCATTCCCTATTTTTTTAGCTGCAGTGATATCACCACATATTTTACGACAGCTCTGCCTTTCAGCATCTTTTACTGATGGAAGAATCAGTTCCCCTCCCTCAGCTCTGTCTGTGGCTCATAAAGCCATTGATAAAATCTCTGTCATTGAAATCCCATGGTTCAAGCTGAATCAGGGTGACTGCTTAACTCTGAGAGTCCTCACAGGCAAGGCTTCGCTTGGTCTCCTTTTCATTCTGATTTTTCTGTCATATCTGTGTGGCATCTGCTTTTTCATTTATCGTCTGCGCCAGGGTAGGAAAGTTCAGTTGCATGGCTGCATGCTATGTTAGTTATTCAGAGCACTGATGTTTTATGAAAGTGGCCTGCAGCCATCAGGCAAGAAATTATATAGGTTTCTAACAGAGGAGAGACAGATGTCAGTGTGCACTCTCCTATGGGAAGAATAACTAGTTTTATAAAAAGAGCCCTAGCCCAGTTTTTGAAAGGTAGAATGAGTGGGAAGGTTTGGTGTTCAAGTGTTTCTGAGGAGCTGCACACAAGGGTCGGCTTCATTACTAATCACTTCTTTCTCTTCTTTCTTTAAAGCCTGTAGACCTTGGACAGTAACTCAACCATCATGGAAAGCTGGATTTAAGAAGAAAAATTATCTACAGGTGACAATGGAAACACTGTATGAGATTGGTAAATGCACTCGGTATAAATATTTCTTCTTTCTAAGTTTCCCATGTACTAGGGACTTCCTGACAATGGGAACATCCTTTGCTGACAAAAAAATAACCAGCACTTGTGCCCTCTGCAAGGATCTCCAGGATCAAAACAGGCAAAAATCAACGGAAAATGAAAAATTATGTTTTTGGAGTAATTGTTGGAAAGAGGAGGAAACAAATTAGCAAAAAGAATTCCAGTACTGCAGTTAATCTCAGCCAAAAATTCAGGACCTCTGCTCATATGAAAAGGAAAGGAGAGAATACCCATGAGATAGATATCAACACACCAAAATCCCACTTCTCAAATGACACATATGAAATCATGCAGCATGAGTATAACAAAGCAGAACAAATCCTGACCATGCCAGGCACCATCCTACCTTTCCTGGAGCCCCACAGGTTTCATTCTGAAAGGAGACGGACTGGCACACAGGGGAGGTTTGAGCTCAGGAACACATTGGCCTTGAGGGTCCACTACAACATTGACAACCTTTGGAGCCTGTTCAGGCTGGACCATGCTGTTGGTGGTCTTATACTCCGACTGAGTTGTTTGCAAGGGAAGGGGTGAGAGGTGGATCTCCTGCTTCTTTTCCTTCTCTTGTCTCAGTGATAACTGGATCTTCTCCTTCAATCTGTACAGAACCTAGAGAAATGAAGAGGAAAGCCCAATCTCAATTCCCTGGTAAACACAGCAAGGAAAGTATCACAAATACTGGATAAGATTGCTATACGTGGCTTTCTTTCCTAGAAGGTAAGCCACAAGTTGTGTTACACAGCGTTTCCCACAACAAGATAAATATTTCCATTACATAAACCACAGTGTGTACACGTGGGCGGCAGGGATTTTAGCAGTTCTTGTTGTGAGCCAGTAATTATTTGCAATACCTGCAGTTGTAAATTAAAGGGGCAAATTACATAGAATGGAAAATAATTACAAAAGACACTGTGAAAAAGGAAATACTGATCAACAGAGTAATTGCAGCAAAATTTGAAAGAATTTTAACACAAGAGAGACAACGGCACAAAATAAAATAGATGCTCAAGATATATCCAGGTACATGTCTCTAATTACAGTAGCCTCAATTTGTTTTAGAGCAGATGTTCTTAAAAGCTCTTACTCATTTTGCATGGAGCTGATGGTTGAACAGAGTAACTTTACTAGGCCACTTTTGTAATGGTAGGCTGCTACTACTCTGAAATACTCATCAGTATAAGGATATCTCTCAATATCCTCAGAGAAACAGACTCTGTTCTGGAATAAAGCTGAAGCAATGCGCTGTCTGTGAAGATACTTCATTATCTGTTCAGAAAAGTGTGTTTTACAATTACCGAGACATTGACGTCTGAAGATATTGTGATACCAAGATTCTCCGTCCACCTATTGCTTATGAACTTGGATGTTGGATATCAGCAGCAAAAGCTTTTCAGATGTTGTACTGATTCTCTTCCACTGAACTCCACGCTGATGTTGCTGTACACTGGCTTGGCGAGGACTGGTGGGCAGCACGTGTTTGCTAATGTCACTCCAGAGGAACCTGTGTTATGCCTATTTAACATATCTTCTCTCTCTTAAGGGGAATGTCAAAAAGGATTTCTGAGTCGTAATTGTGCCATTTTCAAAATGTGCCTTACAATCTGTGAAACTTACGAGAATTACTATCGTAAGTATTGTGTGTGGAGGTGGGTGAAAGGCACTTACACAGCTCTTGGAAGATGTCTGCAGATACCATTATACCTTCTACTCTGCTTCATCTGTTGCCGTAAAGCATTCGAATTGAATCCTGGTTTAAAGACAAAGCCTAGACCAAAGCATTTTTCAGCTGCAGGTCAGAAGCTCTTTGACAGCTGTTGCCCAGCTAGCACCACATAAAGATCTATCACTCCATAGCCTTCCAGAGAAGACTGGATATATCTGATGCATTTGTTTTTTCAAGGATTAGCATTAGAGGTTTAGCTGGGAACTGACCTAATGTCATTAGCAATACACCCATTAAACAAGACTTAGCTACGTAAACCATCTGTTCATTCAGAAGAGTTTAGAATTAAATTGCATGGATAAGATAAGCTGCTCTTTGCCATTATTCTGCAGAAAAAACAGCCCTACTGTGAAGCAAGGACACAGGTATCAGTAAAGATAAAACAGGGGCTTGAAATATTTTAACCCTCTTTTCCTCCAGCGATCCCTTTGGTCTCATTTGTTTCTGGTAACTCATAGACAAACAGCTGAGACATTCACAGTCATGACAATGTTAACCATACCTTCTCGTCACTGATACGTTTTGACAAAGTTTTGTCCCTGGAATTATGTTCTGAACTCCAAAAATCTGGATGAGTATTATTTCATATCCTTTTTAACACTCTATTATTAGACCCTGCCACCAGAAGAAGTTGAAAAAAAGCTAAAGAACCACATTTTATCTAAGAGCTAACGCACATTCCTCAGAAAGTGTGGTCAGGGCCATCATGTTTTTAATTAATTCCAGGTGAAAATGAAATAAACAGAAATGGCCAAAAAGACAGTGATCAACCCAATCACCAAGCTCTGCAAAGGGAACTACTTAGTTGTACTCATATTTCAAATCAGTTTAAACACATCTGTCAGTATGAATGGAAACAGATATGAAGCCCCTAAATTAGGAAAAATGACATTTTACTGATACCCTAGAAAATTCATTGTGAGGATAATCAGGACACATGGAGTAACTGAACAACACGGAGTACTACTTTCCAGGACACACAGGGCGAGTCATCTGTAATTTTTTCATAAGCCTAGGGTTCAAAGCACAGTCCAAAAGGAAAATAACTCGTCCTTCTGCTGCCTCTTTGACTCAGCTTATATGGAAGAATGACAGGGGGATGCTGACAGCGTGACACTCACTCTTTATATCTCTGCTCAGATTTCTGCAAAGGAAAGCTGACATCTTACACCCTAGCTTGGCCAGTAGCTTGTACCTATCCATTCAAAATACCAGTGGAAAGTGCTTTTATTCATCTTCAGAAATTAACAAGAAATCCCAATGAGTTAACTATGTCTCTAGAATGAAGATCTTGGCAATGGTTATGTGGAGCAATGATACGAAAACTCATCTGCCTAGAGAAATTCAGAGCACCAAGAATTGCATAGTAAAGTCTCCCAGAAACCATGGAAATTAAGACAGTTCACTCTAATTAAAAGTCTTCTCTCTAACAAGTACTTATCAACATGTGTGTAAGGCTGTGTATCTCTGCATGAGCAGAGCTGTTGTGCATGTATATAAATAAGAAGGAAATTGACTAACAAAATTTTTCCCTCAAACCCTGGTGGAGGAATGAAAGAAAAAAAAAAAGTGACAGATGCTAGTTGTATTGTTTGATGCATTACTGGAAGGCATTTGGATACCGTGCTTTGAACACACTAGAAAAAGTTCTATAGAAGCAGAATAAAAGAATTCAGAAAATCTAGGAATAGTTTATAGACAAACCCCCTAATTTCAAGTTGGCTTAAACACTGTGCCGTATGATGAGAATACATACCATTAATTTTGATTTAAATCTTTAAAGTGGCAAAAGTTGAAGTTGATAGGCTGATACTAGTTAGTTGTATATATTCTATAATCAAAGTGTTTTCAGAAGTCCTGCACCACTTTATGAATCCTGAAACTTTTATGTTTAAGAACAAGAGATAGGTCGTGCAAATTTGATGCTGGAATGCACTTTTTGTTATTCAGTATTCTTCTTGTTAAAGAAATTCCAGAATAAAATCATGAAGCTGAAAAAATATTTATCATTTAAGTAACATCTTCCCAAAACATCAAATAACTGTTCATAACTCCTGAAACACCGAGACCGTAGTAAAAATTTAGATCCTCACAACTTGTTGACAAGGCAAAGTTCCTGGAATTACAGATTCATAGAATAGTTTGGGTCCGAAGGGACCTTTAAAGATCGCCAAGTCCAACCTCCCTGCCATAAGCAGGGACATCTTTCACGGGTCAGGTTGCTCAAAGTTCATGTCTTTCATTATTTTAAAAGAAAAAAAATCCTACTTTTAGATTACTTTTTTTTAGTGGGAAAAAGAAAAACATTTAGGAAACCTCCTTATCAAAACTAGCTACAAATATTTCATAATCTGAAGGTGAAACTTCCAGGCTACTCAACAGATACTTACACGTACATTATTAAAAAAAAAAAAAAAAAGGATATGCAAACTTTCTGGGTTATTAAAATAGGCAAAATTGGTAAGAAATAAGATAGCAGGTAATTTAACCTACTGTAAAATACTGTGTTATTTAGTAAATTTGATGATGGCTCAGTTATTTCTCTATCTATGTAAAATAAAAAATACAGAAGCCACGAGTGCTAAAAATATTTATTCTTACTTAGCACTTTGCTTGGCAAACTTTATAAATGATGTACAATGTTCCCAGTGGAAGTGAGCCCATGGTCAGCCCATCATGAGGATAGCAATGAGCTGTGCGCTGGTTTCCACATAGGATGAATTGCTCCTTGGATGCAAGAGGTTCCCATACCATAACAACGAGGACTAGCTGAGTAAATACATAAAACGACCTCTGAGGTACAATTTACAAGTCCGAATTTAGCTCACGTGCTACTGTATTACGCTGCTTAGTAATACTCTGCACTGTAGATTCTTATGTATAGAGGCCAGATATTTGTTAAATGCCAGCCAAGCACTAAGAAGCCTAAAAGCTGTTAATGTACAGTGCACTCTCAGCATAAAGAAGTACAATGATCTATAAAACAGTTAAGAGCCAAGGCTGCACGTTTTACAATTTCTGTAGAAATTACACAGAACAAAGCAATAACACTGACAATTCAGCTGCCTTATGCTGAGCACTGTTGATCATCATAATCATCACTTAAAGTACTTCCCACTCCACACTTTAAAGGACACTTCCAAGTCATCTACAGATGCAGCCTAAGCTTTCTGCTTTTGGACCCTCTAAACTACAAGTAACCACCTATGGACAAACAGATGCCCAAAAAAGTGGCCACATTTTGGTGGTCTCATATGGTTGCTACAGCCAAAGCTACTTAGGATGAGCCCCAATGCCTTATGCTAAAGCTGAATGGTCTGATAGACTGCAATGGCTGAATTTGAAATACTGAATTCCTACTTTTCATAATCTGTCACTCTGACACACATAAAGTGAGACGAAAAACAATGTGAGCTGTTTATTAGCCTTACAAATTGCACATACTCCATGTATCAGCAGGTCCTGGGAAAATCTGAGACAGTATCCATTTACACAGCATAAACATAGCACATATAAAGATACAGGCTGGACCTAGGAGCGGATAAAGAGAGCAATACTTGCAGAAAAGACCACAGCATCATAGCGAATCCATCTGGAAGTGAGTTCAAGGAGTCTACTAGTATTTACATCAGCCTAACTTCAGATCAGGAACAGTCAAACTATTCCTGACAGATGCTTGCCTAAAACCTTAAGGAATGAAAACTCCCGAGCTTCCCCAAGCAATGTACTCCGGGGTCTAGTGACTGCTGTGATAGCAAAGTTCTTTCTAATGAGTCAGCCAAATCACCCTTTCAAAAAATTTGCTTCTTTTCCAATCCCCAGTGGAGAAAGTATTATCTTCTTCCTTACCACAGCCTTTGCAATCTTCCCGTGTTTGAGAACTATCATGTTTCTCCCTGTTCTTCTTTTCTCTGTCATAAATAAACCAAATAATTTCATGCCTTCTGCATCTCTGATCACCCTTGTATCTCCTCCCTACTATAATTGCCTGACATTTTTCACAAGTGTGATACCTGAAAGAGACTGCAGAGAATAAGACATGATACTATAACCAAATTATTATGAGAGCCGAGTTGAATACAGATCTTAGAGATCACATCCTCATTTATACATCCCAAGGCAAGAAGTGTAATTTTTGTAACAACATGATGTTACTCATTTCCTTCAGTGTGTGATCTGCAACACTACTGGAACATTTCCTACAGAACCATTGCTTTACCACGTATTTCCTACATGGTATTGATGCACATGAGCAGAGCTCTTGTCCCTGTCAAGCAGCATTCTTGTTACTTTCCATCTTTTCTCCAGCATCTTAAGAATATTTTAAGTTATAATACTGTCCTCCACAAGGCTTACAATGCCCAATACCGTCTACGCATTCTAAATAACTGATGAAAATATTGTGTAGTACTAGGACAAGGACACACAGCATTTTCTATACCCTTCCAGTTAGACAGTCAGTAGTGACCAAAATATCTGCTTCTCCAAAGTAAGAAGCTTGACTAAAACTTAGTACTTCTAGAGTTACCCTCCTATTTTTGAGTAAGATGACACGGAGAAATGCAGATGACTAGGAAGTAGAAATTATATAAAGCAATAATTGTTGCAAGATAATAAGCAGTATTCAAATCTTAGGGAGACTTTAAAAGCTTAAATAAGATTTTATTATAAATGCGATCTTCAGTTTAAACATTCTTTGCATCTCAAGGTTTTAAGTGGGAAATCCATATAGCTTAAAGAAAATTAAATGTGTTTGAAAGCAAAATATCTCAAAAGACTCCAAGATACTATGTGTTCATAAATGCTGAGAATTCCCATAGAATTCAGTAAATCCTAATATTTATGCACCACAGAAGAAATATGCAATTCAGAGAAGGAAAGCGTGAGATACAACATTGGAAAAAACGCAAAAATTACCCTATGAAAGTCAGTGGTGGTGTGGTGTTGTTCATCTTCTGTGTGACACTTGCACACCTCATATTCAGTATGTCTAATGGCCAGAAACCTGGCCACTGAACTCATACAATGTGAATGGCAAAGTTGTTCAAAACTACGATCACTCCTTCATGTACTTACTAGTCATTTCAGTTTAAAATTTGTATATTTGATACCTGAATACCGACACACACTCTAACAATTGTGCATTGACAATATTGTATCAATGTGGTGGTGTTTTTACCATCGAATAAAACTGAAATACAGGCAGCTAACGCAACTTCAGGGATCCCAGGACCTTAGTAAGAAGGTTGAGAAGTTATTGCTCACATCACTAAACAGTTACTCTGCAGATTTAAGAGTCCATTATTTATTTCTTCAGCTTCCTTCTAGTTACATTCTTCAATTGGACTCAAAATATATCAAGAAATGTGGTTCTTCAAACTTTGGCTTCACAGCATTATTAGAGTGATCAACTCTTACCTTGTAGCTGAGTTTTTAATAGTTTTCAGAAAACACTTCTCATGCAAAGAATGCGTGACTCTATCCTTCAGACTGAGAAAAGCATGAAGTAAAGGACAGCAAAAAGAGGAAAAAAGGAAACTTACCATTAAACAAGTTACTAGAATGACAAAGATGCTGAGAAATATGACAACCGCATAAAATCCTTCTTTGCTCCAGATTTTGTCCGCTTCACGCTGGCCTTGCAAAACATTTTTCTTTTTTAAGCAATAAAACAGAAGAGAAAAGAAAGTTACACAGTAGCGTGTGCAGATTAAATAGTTCTCGTCAGGCATTAATCACCCTCCTCAGCTTTGTCACAGTTCACATTCCACAGTATATGGCACTCACTTCGAACGCTGCTATTTGCACGCCCACCTCCGCACCTGCACTCTGTGTGTCTGTGCGTGCGTGCCAGCGACCCAGGCGTCCGAACGCTGCGCGAGATGATCTGAGACCTTCTCCGTGGCTGCTGAGATAAGCCTCCACCGGGAGTCACGGGCTGGCTGAAGGTGAGCAAACAAGACCCGCCGACTTTCTTGGAAACTACCTGGCTCATCAGACAAAAGGGCAGTGCTCCCGCGTGGGCTACGGGAACCGCTCGCCCTGCCTCCTTCTCCCCGGTGCTTATCTCCGGCCCCAGCACCCACGCGCCAGACTTGGCGCTGTTTACACTCCACACAGGAGCAAAGAGCAGGTGACTTGCCAGTTTGCCTTCGTGATCTGGGAAGCACTGACATCATCACCTTTAGATTACACATGCACACATACATGTGCATACGTGAAAGATTCTGATCATGTCGAAAGTAATCTTATTATCTGTCTATCTATAATTCTGATTCTGCTT